TTACGTCGAGTGTTTTTCAATCCGGACTGCCCGACGGGTCGACATGTATCAAGAACCGATTCGGGTCTATTCAGACCGTGCAACAAATGACCCGGTCAAAACTCGGCCAACACAGCCTTAATCCAGTCGACCTCGGGCATTGACCCAGTTGGATCAACCCGATTGACATATATAAATATATATATATATATTAAATATTTTTTCTTTTTGAAAAATAAAACTATGTATATATATTTATATGGTAAATATTTATCATGAAATACATACACTTAATGTACAAATTTTATATACAAAACATTTAATTTTGTTACTTTTATTTATATTTATATGACAAAATACTCTATATAATTTTAAAAAAATTAAAATTAATTATCCGGCCCGGTGACCAGGCGATTGAACCGGCAACCCGAAGACGCAAGACCTGCCTGGTCAATTCCCGACTGGGTTTAAAAACTATGCTTATGCCCTTACAAAATAGTGAAATACATAACCAACAAAAGTGATACGAATATCACATTTCCATTCCATAAATGTTAAACAAGAGAACAAAATCAACAAACATGGAAATAAATATGAAAATTGCCATCACCCAACAATCATCCAGTCTGCAATACTGGAGATTTTTGCACATTCCTATCTCAAATTATCACATATTGGCCACAATATCCAAATTTCATTCCTCATAAAAAAATGATAAAAATTTAACAAAGTTCGACAGCAATACGTAAATACACACACGGACTCTTCTGCAAACAATAAGAACACAAACTTTTAAATAGACCATACATAGTAGCTCTTGTCCTTTTCATTCGTAAGATGGGGCAAGACACTCATCAACCATATTGAGCAGGTTCGGATTTTCTAAAGCTGCTGCCACCCGTTCCTTATCATTCAGCTGTTTATTTACTGCAAATACGTAAAATGATCTTCAGAATTACATACATAAATAGAAAAGAGAGAGAGAGAGAGAGAGAGAGAGAGAGAGAGAGAGAGAGAGAGACAGAGAGGCGGGGGGTACCTGCAGCTTCGGTGGCATGAGTACCTGGTGCAACTCTAATATCCACCTGAGAACAAAAAATCAAAGTAACACATTTGTGTTACACAAAGAAGGAAAAAAATCATTCATTGAACACACTATCAGAAGCCGAAAAATAAAGAAAGCCACTAAAGTACGTATCTTTATCACCTCCACAGTCGGTATTTATTATTCTACTTTTTCAGACAGGCCAATATAAAATATTACGAGCCATAGCTGGACAAATAATTGCATCAACTTGATAACAATAACCAATTGAGAGTACAAGACCAGTATCCACAACTGATTTTCAAAGAAACATACCTTGTACCGAGGTGGCAAAGAGCGCATGAGCTTTACCTGCAAGCACAAGCCAATTACAGTTGCCATGCTACAGTGCTCTACAGTTGGAGTGAATGTGACCCTAAAGCAAATCAACAAACTTCCAGTGAGATTTGGATAAAATAAGCATACACACGTAAATGAAGGCAAATACATATGAAAACGTAGATTTCTACCTCACGTGACTCTTCTCATCATCAACCTCGATGGCATCTTCTGATACGACCTTGAGCTCCTCTAATGAGTAAGGGTGTTCTGGATCTTTTATGTCTCTAATATGTTGTGTGAAATTTAAGGAGTACAAGATGTTTTGAAACATGAGGTTCTGGACAAGACAATCTCATTGTTAGCTGTATGCGTCAAACTAAAAGAGTTGCAGCCAAAACAATGGAGACATGTTTTGTTCTCTCACAAAGACTCCCCCGGCCGTAAGGAGATTAAGCCAAATGGATTGTTTTTGTTGGTGTATTTTTAACTTAACCATGGAACTGTATATAATTTATAAAATACATTAGCAAATGAGATACTACCCAAGAAGTTCACAGGAAATGAAAAACAGAACACATACGAAGGAGATATGGTAAGCATATCAAAGGATATCAAAAATTTCTAATCGGTCAATCTGCTCGACAGCATATTCATCCACATCGGCTGGTGAATTGCGCGCTCGGCGCTCCTTTTTCTCGTACACAATCGGATTAGCATTTATGAGATTTACTACCATGATGAAAGCTCAACCTAAATTCCAAACTCAACATTAGCTAAAATAATATTTTTCACAAAAATCATTACGTTAGGGCAAAAAACATGCTAAGAACGAGAGGGAAAAAAAAAAGATCCCAATTTTTGATGAATCAATGGCTAAATTAATATCCGCACAGGTGCATATCGACGCAGTTCATTATACAGGAATCTAATCAACCACCGTGTAAAACTACAGATGACTAAACCTTTCAACTTAGAGAACGAGAGTAGATAAAGAATACTAACGGCCGTGTTCTTACTTGCTTCTCCTTCTCGGAGCTTCGACCGTGGCACGAGGTTCAGGGTGCACAGTGGACAGAACTCCGGCGGCGGTGGAGGGATTTCCTGGTGTTCTCGCGCTTTTCTATTCTTCTTTCTTCCTCTTTCTGTAGTCGATTTGGCACGATCGAACGAAACCCCCAGCCTGAATTAAGGCCTTGTTTGGCAATCAAGTTTTGGCGAATTATGTGAATTGTTTTGTGTTTTGACCAAGAAATAATATTACCAATAAATATATTTGATTAATTGATTTGATGATAACTCAAATAAGGGCATGAATATACTTTACTATTTACTTATATCAAAATATGATTATTTTATATTTCATATATTTTAAAAATGATATCGACCTTATATATAATTTTTGAATGCGACGAGTTTAAGTGGCAAACTCGTATATTTCGTAAACTTGTTTGACATAAATTTGTGCTTCGTATTGACAAATGTACTAATTTAGTTTTGACTATTAAGTATTAGGGTAGAGAATTACCATCATATATTTTAGTTTTTTTTTACCATATACTGAAAATTATATTGTATATAAGAGCACCCACAATGCATTGGGTCTAATTTTACATATGTGGCATATAAATAGACTTAAGTCCTAAATGACATGTACAAACCTAAGTAAAAAAACTCAAAAACTATTCAATGCAAAAATAAAATACTAGGTCTAGCATAAAGGTCAACCAATAAAAATGTTCTAATATAATATTTAAATGAGGAATAAATGATGAGGGTTCGAGTTTGTACTTGGGTTTAAAATAGACCAAGTGTGGACTTGGACTCTTTTTTTTATTGTCACATAAGCTAGACTATGTCCACTTTTAATTGCATTGTGAAACACTTTTTTTATAGACTAGGTCTACTTCCTACATGACATTTGATTTTTTTCTAAGAGACCCAAAGCATTGTGGACGCAACATATCCATAACATAATAAATCAAACGAAAAAAAATTCTCAAAAAAGGTGAAACATAATCAACTGAAACAAAATCATTAATCATACATATATTGAAGAGGAGAGAGAGAGAGGGGGAGGGAGAGAGAATTCGTCGACTATCTCGCCCTCAGCCTGGGGTTGCCAAACCGTTAATTGCTCCTCAGATCTGAATCCAAAATACCGGTGTACGATTGACCATCGCTCACTATAAATCAAAGTCGAACCTTTCGCTATTCTAAAGCGGGTCTGCCAGTGCCGCCACTCGAGACGCGAGCCGTGAAGATCAACGACCTCTCAAATGTTATCTGCCGCCAGTTTTGGGGTCCAGAAGCCTCACCTCAAGCCGCCGTGTTGAACTATGGTCCCAGCCGTGGCGGGTTGACACATGGTACAGTTCGGACATTGAACTCTATGCACCAAGATCGCCGAATGTCGAAGTGATCGATTTTCTTATGGTTCGAAAAGGATAAATTGTAATGGAATTGAAAGTAAGAATGAAAGTGAAAGAAGAAAGAAGATAAAGGCGAATTATTATTTGACTTCTGATAAGGATTAATCCCAAAACATATGCCCACTATCCATAAAAAATTTCAACTTACGTGTGTAAAAATTTAGACAATCTCTGCAGGTTTGCAATAAAAAATACTATCTATAGTGCCACAAGCGACTAGGGAGGATGAAGTTTTGTAGTGCGGGCTAGTTGCGGACAAAAAGTTCTCTACAAAGTCCGCTTACTTGTCCTTGATACCATCTTCGGGGGGAGGGGGGCGGTGTTCGCCCCGGAGGTGGAGAACTGGGAATCCCTTTTGGTCTCACGGCTTGGCGCCTTTGGTGATGGCGAAACCTACAAATATTTAAGGGACTAACCTGCCATTGGCGCAGCGGGTTGGTGAGGTAGTCTCTTATGTAGACAGAGTGCGCGGAGCACGGGCCGGGTGCAGTCAAGTAGGAGCATGTGGAGTGCGTGAAACACAATGGATTTCTTGGTCTTCCCCGGCGAAGGGCGAATTGAAGGTCAATACATATGGAAGCTTTGTCCCGACGTCGGGAATGGCGAGTGTGGGTGGTGTCATTCGAGACCACTATGGGAGTTGGGTGCGGGGGCTTTCTGATGAATATAAGATTATCCTCTATCATAGGTGCAGAGTTATGGGGGTTGTTCCAGGGTCTCCAGTTGGCTTGGGATATTAGGGCCCGAAGAATTAAAGTTGAGGTTGACAACCGGAGCATCATGGCTATGGTCGCGGACGAGTCTTGTTGTGGACCTTATGGGAGCATTTTGCTGGAGGTTCGAAAACTAATGGGCTGGCATTGGTCCGTGGAGATTGTGCATGGATATAGGAAAGCCAATTTTGTTGCGTACTATTTGGCTTCTTTGGCGGCTAAGAGTCCGAGTGGTCTTCACAGGCTGGAGTATCCTCTTCCGGGGGCGGGCTTATGAGTTATGGCTACATCATGATATGATTGGCATGTCCTATCCTCGAAAAGTTCTTAAATAGTTTGTTGCGTAGGCTTGCCCCCTTTCTCGTACCAAAAAAATTATGTCTCGTAGATATATAATAAAATAAGATTATGTCTGAAATAATTATCTCATTTTTTTTTTCAATTTTGGCAGGCCAGCCTGCCTGAAATGCGGCCCGTGTCGGCCTTGGTCCGGGCAGGTCATATAGAGGCCCACCAGGTTGGAGGCCCGGCCCGACATACGGCGGGTTTTGACTCGACTCTTAAAAATGTCAAAATTTGGCACCCAAATGAAACTTGTCTGCTCCGCAGTTGATATCTGCGTTCTCGTCTCCTCCACCTAAATTTGCTCCTGCGAAGATTCCACTTTCCAACCAGGTATAGTTTTTTTATTTTTTTTCCTTCAATTTTTCTGTTAACATGTAGGTACAGTTCTATTTAAACAAGGCGATATATATGCACTCAGGAGGTTTTTAATAATGTATAATTTTTTTGTCAATGACGATTTTATGTTTACTTTATGAATGTCATAAGTGTTATAACAACTTATTAATAAATGACCTTTTAATTTTTTAAATTTTTCTAAAACATGTACTAGCTCGTGCATCGCATGGGTTACATACTAGTTGACATATAAGAGCACGAAAACATAGAAATAGAATTACAAATAGTATAATTTTTTAATTACAAAGTACTATAAAGCAACTCTAACTTTGCATTTATTACAAAAAGAAATTATGCAACAGTAAAATTAACAATTAGTTAAAATGCGTAGAAAAAGTCAAATAACTTACGTCGAGTGTTTTTCAATCCGGACCGCCCGACGGGTCGACATGGATCAGGAACCGATTCGGGTGGGCTATTCGGACCGAGCAACAAATGACCCGGTCAAAACTCGGCCAACACAGTCTTAACCCGGGGCATTGACCCAATTGGATCAACCCGATTGACTCGGTCCACATATATTTTTTTATTTTATTTTTTAAAATACTTTTTCTTTTTGAAAAATAAAACTAGATATATATATATATTTATATTGGTAAGTATTTATCATGAAATACATACACTTTAATCTACAAATTTTATGTGCAAAATATTTAATTTTATTACTTTTATGTATATTTATATGACAAAATACTCTATATAATTTAAAAAAATTAAAATTAATTATCCGACCCGATGACCAGGCGATTGAACCGGGAACCCAGAGACTTGCCTGGTCGATTCCCCACTGGGTTTAAAAACTATGCTTATGCCCTTACAAAATAGTGAAATACATAACCAACAAAAGTGATACGAATATCACATTTTCATTCCATAAATGTTAAACAAGAGAACAAAATCAACAAACATGGAAATAAATATGAAAATTGCCACCACCCAACAATCAAGAACCGGATAAATAACAACTAAATCGAAATAATGGAAACGACCCACCTATGTAATTTTCACCAAGTTGTTAATGATCAACTAAATCCAACAATTTCCGCCTCAAAGCATGTCCCCTTAACCACTTCAAACGCTAAACCCAATCAAATACCAAACATACAATCACATAATTATTTTTTTTCAGCTCCCAAACAGCTTGTAAACGAAGAAAACTGGATGATTAAGCCGCCAAAGCTAAATTAAAGGTATGTGTGTACGCGTGTGCAATGGATCTCTCAATGATGGGTATATTCAAACCGAATATTTTCGAGTTTGCAGCGTTGGATTAAATTGTACCTACATGTTAACAAAAAAATTGAAGGAAAAAAAATAAAGAACTATACCTGGTTGGAAAGTGAAATCTTCGCAGAAGCAAATTTAAGTGGAGGAGACGAGAACGCAGATATGAACCGCGGAGCAGACAAGTTTCATTTGGGTGCCAGATTTTGACATTTTTAAGAGCCGAGTCAAAACCCGTGAAGATTCACTGCGGGCCCTAATATCCCAAGACAACTGGAGACCCTGGAACAACCCCCATAACTCTGCACCTATGATAGAGCCTAATCTTATATTCATCAGAAAGCCCCCGCACCCAATTCCCAGAGTGGTCTCGAATGACAACACCCGCACTCGCCATTCCCGACGTCGGGACAAAGCTTCCATATGTATTGACCTTCAATTCACCCTCCGCCGGGGAAGACCAAGAAATCCATTGTGTTTCACGCACTCCACATGCTCCTACTTGACTGCACCCGGCCCGTGCTCCGCGCACTCAGTCTACATAAGAGACTACCTCACCAACCCGCTGCGCCAATGGCAAGTTAGTCCCTTAAATATTTGTAGGTTTCGCCGTCACCAAAGGCACCAAGCCGTGAGACCAAAAGGGATTCCCAGTTCTCCACCTCCGGGGCGAACACCGCCCCCCTCCCACCCCAAGGAGCCAACTACTAAACTCCAACGAGAAGAAAGTATCCCACAGAGTGCGAGGAACTAACGACTTCCACGTATGAGTTGCGGCTGGACAATCCCGTAAGGCATGAAACGTCATTTCACAGTCCCCCGTACATAGCATGCATGCCGAGCTCGTAGCCATATGTCGCTGGTACCTACTTGCATTAGTCAATAAGCCCTCGCGAGCTGCTAGCCACAAGAAATGGCGAACTCATTGCGACCCCTCCCACTTCCAGATTAATTTCCATATACACGGATGGTGTCGCCCCGAAGATGGTATCAAAGACAAGTAAGCGGACTTTGTATGGTGGCAATTTTCATATTTATTTCGGGGTTTTGACTCGGCTCTTAAAAATGTCAAAATCTGGCACCCAAATGAAACTTGTCTGCTCCGCAGTTGATATCTGCGTTCTCGTCTCTTCCACCTAAATTTGCTCCTGTAAAGATTCCACTTGCAAAGATTCCACTTTCCAACCAGGTATAGTTTTTTATTTTTTTCCTTCAATTTTTCTGTTAACATGTAGGTACAGTTCAATCCAATGCTGCAAACTCGAAAATATTCGATTTGTATATACCCATCATTGAGAGATCCACTGCACACGCGTACACACATACCTTTAATTTAGCTTTGGCGGCTTAATCATCTAGTTTTCTTCGTTTACAAGCTGTTT